GGGACGGAGACAGAGACCGAGACAGAGACGGAGAGATGGAGAGATGGAGATAGAGACAGAGACAGGCCGGGCCCAACACTCTCCGTTAAGGCCGGCGCAGGCTGCGATGAGATCCTGGCTTTGAACCAGCCGGCGCTTCACGGCAGCAACCAGGCAACCCTGCGCCTCGCTCAGCCTCGCACATGCGAGACTCACTGCATCAACTTCAGGATTCCGAGGTCGCCCCCCCCCCTAAAGGGAGTTCGCAGGAACAGACTGCGTTGAGGCCAGTGGCTGTTCCAGACCACGTTCTGCGTATTGGACGGCCACCGACACGAGGCGTGCGACGCCTTCATCGAGGGTGCTGTCATGCTTGCCGCCTTTACCCACTTCTAGTGCCTGAGGAAACGAAGACAATCAAATACTACAACCGCAGCAGCAGCAGCCGCAGCAGCAGGCTGGCTGGTCCAAAATTATTGCGACTCACGTGCATGCGGCCTTCGTCGCCTCCCGACTGGCGAAGCTTCAACAGGCCGTCCAAGAGAGGCACCTCAAGTAGGAATTCGTACATGCCGGGAGAATCTCTCGTCTCTCTGCCTGCCCGACCCTCCCGCCTGACCGTCGCTATCTCGAGCTTGGAGGTCGGCGCGAGCACAGAGAAGGGCCCACATGGCCCGCTCGTGGCCCTGTGCCATGGCTTCGTGCAGGGGCGTCCGGCGCGTCTTGGGTGCAGTGCGGTTCACGTCCGCGCGGAAGTCCAGGAAGACGCTCACCAGGTGCGCGTTGCCGGCTTTGGCGTCCTCGAAGGGGCATGTCGAAGGTACAACGGCAAGAGAGACGCCGCTGTTGTTCGGGAAAGAAGTGCGGGCCAACACTGCAACAGAGGCGACTGTTGCTCGGGAAAGAAGTCTGGGGGCCAAAAAACGCCCCGCTTGGCATCTACTTGCAAAAGCAGCGCTGTGTCCTTGTGGAGGAGGCCTCTGTTGCCGTCGTTCAGCATCTCCTGGCTTTTTGGGAGGTTCTTTCCGGTTTCGGCCCCAAGAAGGCCCTCCCTGCAACCCTCAAAGGACTCAGAAAAAACCTCAGTCGCAGGGCTCTGGACACCGCCCTCCCAACTCCGAAGGAAGCCATGCGCGATCCTGGAGATCGGCATCAGCATTGGAGCCCAGGTTGTCCTCGCAGGCTCGGCTTCGAGAGCTTCTGGGCTGGGTTCCGGCCGGGCGTTTGCGCCACCTCAACAGAGTCGGAGCGGCGCCAGGGCCCGCAAAAATCCCGGTCCTTGCCCCACTGCAGGATGTTGCGGCACCTCTCTACGGCATCCGGCTCCGACACGGCTGCCATGACCTTCTCTGGGCAGGGACAGCTTCTTTTCCAACTTGCCCCCTTGCAATCACCCGCAAAGGCCGGAGACTGCCCTCGAAAAAAACCCGCGAGCGAGCGCAGGAGCCTAAAAGGAAAAAACCCACCCCTGATCCTGGTCGAGGCTCCTCCCGGGAGACCTCGAAGGATGTTCAGCCTCAAAGGACACCGCGGGCGGCTACGAAGGCTCTCAGAGTTGAGAGCTGAAGCAAAAAAACACCGCGTTACGCGGCGGGCCCAAGAACACCCCGAAGGGCAAAGCAAGGCTTTGCCACCTCTCGGGCTTTCAAGCAATTTCGGAAGAATGCGCGCTTTGCACAGGTCTAAAAATCGCACGCCGAAGCTGCACGATAGCCCGGACAAAGCAAAAGCGAGCGCTGAGCCCTTCCCTCCGTGCAGGCGAGGGGCTGCAGCTCGCAAACCATGTCTTGGATGCGGAGGCTCAGCTGAAGGTCCTTGGACGGGGTTGCATTCGGCTTCGGGCGCTGGAGCCTACTACGGAGCGGAGGAGGGGCGAAGTTGCGTAGCCTGCATGTTTGTCGGGCTGCCGCGTGCTGCCCCTGTGAAGTGGCACGGTGCAGGCCTTCTGCCGTTCAGCCAAGCATCGCGATACCCGTCGAGCGGGTTCATATAGCGGTCGTTAAACTCGATGATGTCGATCTCCTCGTCTTCATGGATTGCTTGGAGACCTTTGTACCTCGGCGGGCTCGCACAGACCTGTACAGCTGCAGGAGATGCTGCAAGTGAGCTTTCCCTTTTTCCAAGGTCCCCACATGTCGTGCAGATTTTTGTAAACGATGGTATCCCTCACGATGTCGGTCAATCTGTGCCACGAAATTTCACCCTTCTTGTCCTGCAAAGGGAGCATGAGTGTGATGCAAAAGCGTCTTCGGATTCCTCTCCGTCCGGACAGGAAGGCATCAGACCAGAGCTCTCGCTCTCTCGCTAGGGCACCCTTGCTCCGCTCCCTGGAAGACCCGGAGGCGAGGTGCCATATGAGAACCCAGGAAACTCGCTCTCTTATCTTCTGAGCCGCGGTCCTTGTACTTGAACTGCGCTTTGTCCCGACACCTTGGCATGCCTTTCAGTTTCGGCTGCACGTTCCGGCCGCCGGTGCCCTTTGCCACCGCCCGCACTTTGGCGAAGAAGATCGGAGCTCTCTCCTCTTGCAATCTCTTGCGCTGCAGCGCCCGGGCACATGAGAAACAAACCCACGCCAGTCAGCCAGGTGAAAGCAAACTACTCCAAGCATGCTTGGAGAATTCGAGCAGCTGAAGGAAGCTGATCTGTGTGCGTGCGTGTTTGTAGTCCTTGCAGAAGTCATAGAGCTCCTCCAAAGTGTTCTGATACCTTACAAGGGGAATGCACAGAATTTCGCAGATTCGGCCAGCCCTTCATGTCGGGCCTACACAAGAACCTGGCAGGAGCTTCAGACATCATCAGGGAGGAGGCTTCATACAGAAGGCTCTCTGCGGACGGAGCTGCGGCTGATAGTTCATCTTCGTGGAAAAGGAGCGCCGCTTCTGCCAGTCCTTGCCCATCATCTCCACGAGCTCCTTCAGCACAGGCTTGCTGCTGGGAGCTGGGGGGGAACCATTTCTTCAGCTGCCCAACACATGCAGGGGTTCATGTCGTAGTGGCACTGGCATGCGCTGGGATTTGCGCGTGCCCGGGAGGTTGCAAGAGGGGCACTTAAGGCTGGACGCAGGGGTAGCGCGGCGCACGGCCTTGTTGGGCTCGTAGATCTCCTTCAGCTTCCCGCTGAAGGCCTGGAGTCGGAGTTGAAAAGCGGCGATGCTCTGAGAAAGTGCATATAGGCTTGAGGCTTTAGGCTGAAGAGTTCTGCGATTGCAACAGCACACAAGGCGGACACAAAGTCCCTGAAGATGCAGGGGCCTGCTACCACCCGCCATTCCGAACTCCAACCATGCCCTCTGATGCCCTCTGCCTTTGAATGTAGATAGGAGGTGCCATGGTGATGCTGAATCCGACGGGATGCAATGCACAACAAGACCCAGGGAGACGGGAACCCCGTCCTCGTAGTCACGCAGTCCCGTCTCCCCTCCAGAGAGCTCCTGAGCCGTGGGTCAAGTTGCAACGGATAGTCGGGGGTGAGGATTTCTGGGCCAGCAGGGTTGTCAGCTCGTTCGCCAGGCATGCTGCTGAGCATAAGACCCCGGCTTTACGGCGTATAATATGCCCCTTTCCGCCGAATGGATACTCGAATTAAAAATTCTCTTCTCCGGCGCCTCAGCTCGGGCCAAGGCACCAGCGCCGCGTCGTAGGTCGTGGGCATCGTGGCCGGGTCGACTTCTTCTTCGTCGTCCCTGCGAGCGTCCGGGAAGCCACGGCCCAACCCCTCTTTCCCCAAAAAAGGCTCCCCCTGCGCCCGGCCCCTTCCCCGGGCCTCTCCGGCGCCTTTGGCTCCTGGGCTTCTGCCGGCTGCATGTGCTGCTCGAGCCGCGACAAGCGGCGCTCCAGTCGGGCCATCTCTCCGCCTTCCATGAGCTTTGCTGCCCGGTATATCCAAAGTAGCCACACAGAGAGAGAGTGGCTCTCTACCCTGCAGTTGGCTTTGGGGGAAACCTGGTCTTGCCTCGCTGATGTTGGGGGGACGACTTGGAAGATTGACGGACTTGCGAAATATCATGACTAGGAGGGCTCCATATAGAAATGCATGCTTTCGCAAAATGGTTATAAACAAAATACTCTGGTTTTGGACATAAGCACGATTGTACTATAGCATACTACACCTAGCACACTTGCTAACTTCTCCGATACTCCACGGAGGCTTTGATGCTATGTAAACCCTCCAACCGACCGTCATGGCAAATCTGCCCTAAGGCGAAGGCTGGCCGGGCAAGAGCCCACGTCCCATTTCTGGCCCCACAAACTCCGAGGGCGTCCCTTGCACAGAAACTTTCAGGAACTTCTCAAGTTTTGGTGCCGGCCTCCTTCCGGCTGTGCGGCGGCACCGGCGCCTGACTTCAGCCTCTGGACCTCTGCGGACAGCACGGCGATGGTGGCCCCCATCTTGCAGAGCAGCGCCGTGGTCTTAGTCAGCGAAAACTGAAAACCCAACCTCCCTCCTGAAACCAGAACCATCTAGGCCAAGCTCTTGCTAAACCATACAGAATGCAATTTGCAACCCGGTTGCATGGCCGTTGATGGCCAGGAGCCATTCCTGCCTCTCCTCCTCCGTTGATGCCGCCAGGCGCAGGTGCGTCAACGTCGGCTCTGCTTGCACGAAGTTCGACACTTCGAAGGCGTAGCCCTCGGACTCCGGCGGGAGCTTCTCGTGCTCTGGCTTGGCGGAGCCGGTGGCTCCCAGCATGAGCCGCGCTTGGCACTTTCCAGTGACGCCGCCGAAGGTCTCGAGAATGCCGGGGCCGAGCAGAACGAGGACCTTCTCCCAAGTGTCCGTACGGGGCTGGTACTGCCACAACTGGCTGCGCTTGAAGGGCGCTTGCATCTGCGGCAGGCCGGTCATCGCGAAAGGCAAGTCGAAGTCCTGATGGGAAATCGAACCAGTGAAGCATAAAGCAACCGATCCACGATCCTGCATGGGAAATCTTGGGATACACGTTCAAGCATACTCTCGTCCGTCCTGCATGCCGGTGCCGCGGTCCTGCAAAGGCTCCCAATCGATTCCACAGGAACGCCGAAAAACTCCAAAGCAATGCCAGAAGAAGCAATGCAGGCACTGCAAGAGCATAAAAAAACCGTGGCTTCAACTTTGCTGGACCCCAAAACGCGCCCCGGCCCGTGCGCTGCCCTGGGAATCCAGCACATCCTGTGCCGTAGCTGAAGGGGCTTCCGCTGGCTTCGGCTTGAAAGCTGCTTTTCTGCCCCCCCCAAAGGAGCACAGACCCAGCTCCCGACAAAAACCTCAGAGGCTTCATCCGGCTTGCGCTTCCGTCCGGCCCTGCCCCAAGCAGACCCCTGCTCTCGGTGCCTCGGCCAGATTGGTGCCGCCGCGCGAAGCCGCTGAAAGCTCGCCTTCCAGAGCTGAAAGCTCCTGCGCAGGAGGCTCTCGGCGAGTTACATCGCAAACTGCTTTCAAACCTCTCACGGTAGAGAGCGCCCCCCGGAAGCGAAAGGTTTGGTCGGGGAAAGGACGCCACCCCAGCAGTGAAGATGCGAAAGAAGAACAAAAGCTGAACAAGCACTACCACCCACCCCTCCCAACAAATAAGTCGCGCAAAGTTTCCCAGAAAGGCGGCTCCTGCTTCAGGGCTTGGTTGCGGCGGCGTAGGGACATCTGCGCGGGGTGCTGCGGGGCACGCTGGCGGAGCCAGTGGACCATGAAGCCTTCCGGATCCTGGCGGAAGAGATGTGAAAGAGCTCTCGGATGAGAGCTCTCTGTCTGCTGGCTTTGGGCCGCCGGTCATGAAGCTCTGCAACTACATGGTGCGAGCTGCTGGCAATGTGCATGGGCGGTCGATAGAATAAGAAGTTCAACCCGCCTCGGGCAGGGTCGACAGCATGTCCTTGGTGAGGTCCGTCGCCAGCGGCTGCATCACCGCCTTCAGGTAGGACTCGATGGACTCTGTCGCCATGGCCCCAAAGGCTCGAAGACGAAAGGCGGAGAGGCGTGGGAGGCAGACGCTGTCGGAGGAGCTCTCGAGCAAGAAAGCGAGCACATGGCAGCTCCTGCAATCCAAACGTGCTCGATACAACCGCAGCGCTCACAGAAGACTGTTATGAGGATTCCGCTTCTCAATACTGTTTCTCTTTCGATAGCACGACTGTTCTTACCATCCCTAAACCCTTATGGAGCCCTTCAAGGACGCCGTAAAGGAGCCCTCAGAGGAAGGACCCTAATGCCAAGAGCGGGGGACCTTGGCAGAGCCCTATTTTTCTGCTCCGCAGGCGGATGCTGCGCTTGGCGTCCGGGCCGCTGCTTCGGGGCGAGGACCGCCGCTGTCAAAGAGTAGTCCTCGCTGCAACTACGTTCGCCTGACTTTGATACTGTTGATGATATATAAACCGTGCAGTTATACCCTATAAGCACCCTATAAACAATCGGAATGACGGTCTATTCCTTGTTATGGGGTAATGCAGGAGTCAGAGCATAGCTCGCATTTTCCATCAGCGACGGTCCTTCCCGCGCCGCTAAGAACCGGCTCTTTGCAAGAGCATGGTCTGCTCTGTGGAGCTCGCTGGCCCGGATACTTACTGGGTTCTTGTTAAGGAATTTAATTTATTAGGTTATCGTCATAAAGATCTATAGCAAAAGAAATAGGGTTTCATATTATAATGGTAACTGAAAAATACTTCCTTAACGAGAACTCAGATTATGAGTCTGCAGTGAGATGCAGGCGGCTGTACTCTCAGGTCTTGCAGTGAGCTTGGAGGGAGCTTCAAATCACAAAAGGGAGAAGCCAGACCTCTCACCACCACGTTGGGAGTGAGGGCAGGAGACTCCCTCAGACCTCTTGCAGTTCGCCAGTTCTCTTGCAGTTCGCCAGTTCGCCAGCTCGCGGCGTTCCTCCTTTGCAAGCTTTCGAGATTAGAAAAGTAACACACCGGAGGAGCCGTCTTGTGCTTGCTGCCTGCCTTTGAGGCACATAGGCAAAAGCTATGGGATCTCCTGTGACAGACGGAGCTCGTTGGCCCGCTTCAGCTTGCTGTGAGATGCTGGCAGCCTCAAATTCGACTTGGCTCTTCGCCTCCGCAGAAATGCGAATACACCGAAAAAAGGATCTTGCAATCGGCCATGTCTCGCCCAGTGCTTAAACGGCTTAGGCTAGGAGTTTCAGAGAACAGAAGAGAAGCTCCTGGAGCTGGTCATAAGCTCACGGAGCCTTGCGTGCTGCCTCCCTTTTGACGAAGATGTGCAACAGCTATGGGATCTACTCGGATGCGACACCCAATGGTGGCCCTGGACACGGCCCTGCTCGTCTCACACGTTGACGGGCAGTGCAACATCGATGGATGCACAGGCGGAGCCCGCAATGCGCGGGGCGGGTTCCAGTGTTCCTCGGGCTGCAAAGCTTCAGAACAGATTAACAAATTCTTCTTCTCCATCTTCTTCTTCTTCTCCATCTTCGTAGCCGTGGTGACAATAACGACACAAACCAACAACAATTCTACGACAGACAAGTTCCCTCCGCATGCCGGAAGCCCTGCCTCTGCAGTCGCAGTGGCTCAGGGCCCTCGCCTGCGCGACTCAAACTCTCCGTGAGTCTCGATTCAGGGCTTGAAAAGGAGAGGGTATTTTGTTGGGGGTCTGTTTCTTGTTGTGTTGGCAGTTTTCTTGGTTTTCCCACAAACGCTATATTCCTTACGTTTTCGATGGAGTTCCTGCTATTTCCCTAGGTTTTCTGAAGGCAAATGTCTTAATTCTTCCCAGGGATTACACTATATTCGCTACATCTTGGATGGATTCGTGCCGTATTCGTAGGTTTACCTAGGAAACCTCTGTTCCTTCTATATTTTGGAAGGAAGGAAGGAAGGAAGGAAGGAAGGAAGGAAGGAAGGAAGGTGAGACCAGACGCCTCGAGCCCTCGAGCCGTAAATACCCTAAACGCTGCGACCTACCCAACACCCTGAAAAAAACTCTCAATTTCAGGGTGGACGTCCGCGTTACAAACTTACAGTGTCCTTAAAGTTCACGACGCCATAATACGGAGATACAGCAATTTCAGGGTGGACCTTCACGTTACAAACTCATACTGTAAATAAAAAATATAACTCACAACGCCTACAACATAAAGATGCAGAAATTTCAGGGGTGGACGTTCGCGTTACAAACTTGCAGTGTCTTTAACGTGCACAACGCATAAAGACACAGCAATTTCAGTATAGTGTCCGTACAGTTCAGAAGCCTACAATACAGATAAACATAAATTTCAAGTTGTACGTTGGCATTCCACTTATAATTTATAATCTCCTTAAATTAAAGTTCACAGCGCCTACAGAACACAAGTGCCGACTGCTCAGGCTGAACATTGGCGTTACAAATATACTGTCTTTAAGGTTCACAATGCCCACTACAATAAAAAGATACAGATGTTCCAGGGTGGACTGTCGCGTTACATTAACTTATAAAGTCGATCTGTATAGTTCGCAACGCCTACAATACAAAGATACAGAAATTGAAGGGCGGACGTTCGCGCTGCAACTTGTAGTGTCCTTTTAAAGTTCACAACGCCTACGATACAAAGATACAGACACTGAAGGGTGGACGTTCGCGTTACAAACTCGTAATGTCCTTAAACTTCACAACGACAACAATACAAAGATACAAACATTTCACGGTCTATCTTCGCGTTACAACCTTGTATTGTCCGTATAGTTCACAACGTCTTCGGTACAAAGATACAAAATTTCAGGGTGGACGTTCGCGTTGTAAACACATGGCGTGCTTAAATTTCACAGGGCCTACAATAAAAAGATGCAGAAATTGAAGGGTGGACGTTCGCGTTACAAACCTGCTTTGTCCTTAAAGTTCTCGACGCCAAAACGCAGAGGTACAGAAATTTCTGGATGGACCGTCGCATTGCAAACTCATGGTGTCCTTATAGAGTTCACAACGCTTACAACACAAAGATGCAGAAATCTCAGGTTGGACGTTCGCGTTACAAACTTGTAGTGTCCTTATAACGTGCACGACGCCTATACAAGAGGAAGACACATAGTCTTCAGGGTGGATCGCGTTACAAATTGATAAAGTTCGTATAGTTCACAATGCCTACAAGACAAAGATACAAATTTCAGGCTGGACGTTCGCGTTACAAACTTGTAGTATCTTGTAAGTGTCATGTCATAAAAGTTCACAATGCCGACAATACAAAGATTCAAAACTTTCAGGATGGGCGTTCGCGTTAACAAAAATGTAATGTTTCACAACATTTGCAGTACAAAGATTCATGTACAGAAATTGAAAGGTGGAAGTTCACGTTACAAACGGATAGTGTCCTTAAACTTCACAGCACCTACAATACAAAAATACAGAAATTTAGGGTGGACGTTCGCGTTACAAACTTGTAGTGTCCTTCAATCTCACAACACCTGCAAAACAAAGATACAAAAATTTGGGGGTGGACGTTCGCGATACAAACTGATAGTGTCCTTGAAGATCACAACGCCTACAATATAAAGATACAGAAATTTAAGTTGAGGGTGGACGTTCGCGTTGCAAGCATATGGCGTGCTTCAATTTCACAACGCCTACAATGCAAAGATACAGAACTTGAAGGGTGGACGTTCGCGTTACAAACTTGTTTTGTCCTTACAGTTCACAACGCCGAGCTTTCAGGGAGGACATTTGCGCCACAAACTTGTAGTGTCCGTATAGTTCACAACGCCTACAATGCAGACACATACAGGGTTTTCACGTTGGACGTTCGCGTTACAAACATATAGAGTCCTTACAGCTCACAACGTTTACAATACAAAGATACAAAAATTGCAGGGTGGACGTTCGTGTTACAAATTTGTACTGTGCCTAAAGTTGACAACGCCTACAATACAAAGATACAAAAATTTTGGGGTGGACATTCGCGT